ACATTCTGATACAGGCTACAGCATGTATGAACCTTGACATTATGCTCAGTGAAGTTAATATGGTAAGTTTTATGTTATGTGTATTTTATCACAATAATTTTTTTTTTTTTTTTGCTGAGCCATCCTGCCACCTGTTGGCAGCTCAGCAGCAGCTCAGCTCCGGCTGGGAATCGAGCTGGCAACCTTGTTGCTCAGAGCTCGCACTCTTGAGCGAGCTCTTAACCAACTGAGCCACTCCGGCCCACCCCCACAATTAAATTTTTTTAATTCCAAAAAAGGAAAAGTGTTTCTTCTCCATTTAGGGCTTCCCCTTCTTCTGGGCTCCATCTCCTCCCACCTTCTCCAGCTATCAGTTCTTTCTTGTCTTCCATACCTGTACCCTCTCCTCTTTCCCTTTAGCTTATAAACATGCTCACCTCTCTTTCACATGAAAAAAAAAAAAAGCTTTAGATCTGTCACTCCAGCTCCAGCCCTTTCTCTCTCCACCCTTACAATATAGTCATATAAACGCTGTCTCGACTCAGTTTTCAGACACTGTCTGGAGGCCCATCTGTTCCCTTTCTTGAACAGTGATTAAATATACACTCCATCACCTTCTTTATGGGACACACATGCACTGGGCTACTCTCCACCTGTCCTAATTTCTCAAAGGCAGGCACCAGACAATCAGGGGAAGCCCCCAAGCCCCAGAGCCCCTGAAATTATTCAAATGAAGCCTGCTTGCTTTGCAGTGCCTTTCCTTCCTGCAGAAACCATAACAAAGGTTCTTGCTCATGTTTCCCCCACCTCCAACCAACCTGGTGCTTCCCTACGTGGTCCCTTCTCTTGGGATCTGTGAGTACAATAAACTCTCTTTTCAATGGCGCGGTCTCCTGATCCACTGGCCTTTCTCTGCCTGGATGTCCTTGAGGGTCATTGCTGGGATGTCCTTCCATATATACTGAAGTTGGGGGTGGCAAAATGCTGGACATATAGACAGGGCCATACTGGGAATCCAATGAACATGGTGATTTGTTACAGATGCCATGTAAGGCAGATGGGCACAGGGCAAGATAAGGAGAGATCAACTTTATTGGGGTGGGACGCTGGCCAAGGCAGGTTATATGGCAAAGAAGAAATGGGACATCTCCTTCCCTCACACCTGTATTTATTCTACCTCATGAATCTGCTTCTGATGGCCACCGCCTCAGTTTATACTGCATTCTTTTGTGCCTAGGCCATCACAGCTGGTCTCCCAACTTCCCTTTATCACCCTGTCCCATCTCTCCTTATCCATCTCCGGGGATCACTCCAACAAAGAGATTTGATGACTTGACCTAACCTAAAGAGGACTCAGAGTGATGAAGATATTTGCACGAAGTTTCTCTTGAACCACTGAGCTGTTTACCCAAATGCCCATTCAGCGTCTCTACTTACAGGTCAAACAAACATCCCAGACATAATGTGTCCACAACAAAGCTCCTGATACCTCCCCAAAACCTGCTCCCCCATAGTCACTCCATCTCACACAATGGTGTTTCCAGCCTTCCTGGAGCTCAGGTTGCATTCCTTGGGTTAACTCTTTAGTCCTCTCTGAGTCTCACACCACACACCCATTCTTTAACCAGTTCTTCTGTTTAAACACTCACACTGTATCTAGAATCTAACTACCTCTAATCATTTTCTGATCCAAGACATAATCACCTCTTGTTTGGATTATAACATAGTTCTTCCTCTATCTCACTATTTTTGCCTTTGCTTCTTAAATACACCTATTTAAGATTGTGTCACTGGTCTATTCACAACCCTCCCAAAACTCCCATCTCAGAATAAAAAGAGTCCTTACTTTCACATACAAGGTCCTACCTGATCTCAAACCTGTTTTCCTACTACCGTCCCCTTCACCCATTCCACTTAGTCTCCAAGATACACAATGTTCTCTCTAAATACACCAAGCATGCTCCTGCCCCAGGGCCTTTGCACTTGCTGCTCCCTCTCCCTGAAATTCCTTTTCTCTAGATGTATACATGGCTTCTCCCTCACTTGCTCAATGTCTGTGCTAAATGACTTTCTCTTAGTCATCTTCCCAGTAAGGCTTTTCCTGGACACCTTGTCTATAATTTTCTCTTATTTTAACATCCTATCTAAAACATTTCTCTACCCTCCCTATCCCCATCTCTTGCTTTATTTGTCTCCAAGTAAGTATCACATTCTTTAATATCTTGTTTATCAATGTCTTCTTGTGCTAGAATGGAAGATCCATGAGGACAGCAATCTTGGTTTACTTCACTGTTTCTTCAGCATCTAGGACAGTGCCTGACACATAATAGGGACTCAATATTTTGTTGGATGAATGGAAGTCCCAGAATAGAAACTGAAACTGATTCCAAAGTCACTGGCCCAGGCAGCTTGGGGAGTGGGGAGCAATGAAAAAAATTGTGATCCCTGTCACAGAGGGCATTAGGTCCTTCTGAGACTAGTGGGTGGGTTCATTGATCATGCCCTCTGACCCATGTAGTGACCAGCAAATATCCCTTGATTTGACCAAACAACAACCCTTTTGGATGATTCCAAAACCTTCCGCTCACCTGAAGACCAGATCCCGGGGTGCTGACTTCTTCTGGCTTGGCTTGTACCTGGGATTAAAGGCTCAGGGAGTGAGGCTGGAACCAGAGATGCTGATGCTTCCCTTGGTCCCCACCTCCACATGGTCGGTCAGTCCTATGGTAAGTCTCTCACCTCTTTTTCAGGAAGAAAATCAGCAGGCCCACCAGGATGAGGAACAGGAGGACACCAACAATAGCCCCAGCAATGACCCCTGGGGGAAGGAGGCATGGAGAGCCTTTAGAACCTGGGTCTTATCTCCTGGTGTCCCATCTCTCCTACCTCCGTCCTCACCCAGACAGCGATCAGAGGGCCTACAGGGTAAATGCTGGGACAGAGAAGGGAAAGGAGAAATCTTCTGGGTAAAGCCCCATCTCCCACCCAGCCTTTCCTCTCAGTCTCTCACTCCCCCAGAAGCCTGGTTCAAATGCATCATTTTCTCAGGTGACCTGGGTGCTAGAGTGACACTTCTCCTCCTTGGCCTAGACTAATAGTTCTCAGCGAGGGCAGTTTTTGCCCCACTGGTGACATCGGGGAATGTCTGGAGACATTTTGGTTTGTCACCAGTGGGGTGGTGGTGCCACTCGCATCGAGTGGGCAGAGCCCAGGGATGCTGCCCAACATCCTACAAGACATAGGACAGGCCCCAACCACGGAGTGATCCAGCCCCAATGCCAATATGCCAAGGCTGGGGACCCACTCTCTGGGGTTGATGGCTTTGATGGCTCTCCCCAGAAGTGAGGCTCATCTTCTCAGGTGTCCTATTTGCTAGGAGAAGGGCTCCCTCACAGTGGAGCCCACTGGTGGTGCCTAAGGCCTTGGTCCCAAGCTGTCATCGGCACAGGTTTTAGAGGATCTATGCTCAGATGCCTCATCTTAGGGTAGACTCAAGCCCATAGCCCACCGCTGTCAGCCATGGTAGCCTCAGGCTACAGCTTCTCAACAGTCCTGGTTGCCAGGACCTGTCAACAGGCTTTAGAAGGGTATTACACAGCCTGGTGGGGGACCCAATCCCCTATGAGCCTGGTCCAGACGAATTGGACAAGAAAGGCTATCCTACCAGGGACCCTTCTTGCCAAGTTAGAGACAGTCCTGGGCAGTGCACTCCAGCAAAAGCCAGTTTGGAGTTGCATCTATTGATCATTACACTGACCGCCAGTCTCTCTCCAGAGCACAGAACCAGTCTAATATAAGAGGCCCTGATTCCTAGAAAGTGACTGGTGAGGCCGAGTGAAGCCTATGACCACAGTCAATGGGATAGGATTAGAAACTTCCTGTTTGAAGAAATTCAAACTTCTTCAAATACCCCTACTGATGAGTAAAAAATTGTGCCACCATGGTGGGAAAAAATCTGGCAGTTCTTCAGATGGCAACTCTACACATAGAGTCACCATGTGATCCAGTAATTCCACTCCTGGGTACATAGTCAAGAGAAATGAAGGCATACATTTACACAAAAACATGTCCATGAATGTTCATAGCAGCAATACTCGTAATAGCCAAAAAGTGGAAACCGCCTGACTGACCCATCCATAGAAGAATGGAAAAGACAGTGGGGTCCAGCCATACAATGGAACAAAAAGGAAAGAGGCACTGACACACACTACAACATGGGTGGACCTTAAAAACATTATACTGGGGTGACCGGTTAGCTCAGTTGGTTGGAGCATGGGGCTGATAACACCAAAGTTGTCAGTTCAATCCCCGCATGGGCCACTGTGAGCTGTGCCCTCCCTAAAAGAGTCAACCATGCCATTGTAGAATGAAAGCAATATGTAACCAGTGACCATGGCTGTTCCCTAATAAAATTAAAAACAAAAACAAAAATTTTATACTAAGTGAGAAAAGCCAGTCACAGAGGAGCACATGTTGTATTTTTAGGAAATGTCCAAAATAGGCAAATCTGTACAGAGAGAAAATAAATTAGAGATTCCCTAGGCTTGGTCGTAGGGCAGCTGGGGCAACTATGGGGCAATGGCTTAATCAGGCGGTATTTCTTTATGCAGTAATGATGAAAATATTCTAAAACTGATAGTGATGATGGTTGCACAACATTGTGGATGCACTAAACGCCACTGAATTATACATTTTAAATGGGTGAGTTGTATGGTATATGAATTATATCTCAATAAAGCTGTTTTAAAGAAAGCTGAAAAAAACCCACCAACCAAGAAACAAACAAACAGACAAAAAGGACCCCATGGGTAGGTGAGACTTCCTCACAACAGGGCATGAAGAGATCTAGAGAGACTTTCTCTGCCCCCTGGGGACCTGCTGACCTGTGCTCTCGGTGTGGCAGGTCACAGAGGCAGGTGGAGCCCTCATTGTGGACCAGATGGTCGTGACAGTGGCTGGGTAAGACTGAGCCGGGTGGAGACCCAACACAGATACACCCGTCTCGCAGGATGATCTGTCCTGGGAGCTCTGCTGCCTGCCCACATGCAACTCAAAGGCCTCGTAGCCTCCTGTGGGGCAGGACCAGGTCAGGATGACCCCGTAGCCCCCCGAGATGCTGATGCAGGAAGTGATGGTGACAGGGTCCGGGTCTGGGTAGAAAGGACAAAAGGAGTCAGTAGGTGCCATCCAAGGTGGTGTTCCATCCCTCCCCAGCTTCACCACCAGTGACACCAATTCCATGACAAGCCATCCTTTCTCTCCCCAAACCAAAATACCTCTTCATCCCTCATTTTTTGTCTCTCCCAATAGGTCCCCTCACCCATGAGCCCTCTGACTCTCTGTATCATTGTAGCTTATGAAGTCATGGCCTGATGGGATTTGTAGTCCACTCACTTCTCATTGCCCCCGGGTCGGACCTAAGCCCCCCACCAGGTAAAAAGGGACCCATCTCACCTGTGGATGCATTGAGGCTCTGTGTGGAACTGGCTACATTGTTCTTCTCTGCCCACACGCTGAAGTTGTACAGAGTCCCAGGTACCAGGGAATCCACCACATACTGAGTCTCCTTGGTCTCGTTTGTCTGGGGATGTCCCTCACCAGCCCACTGAACTAAGTATGTATAGAAATCAGCGTGGAGGTCTGCAGGGGCCTTCCACTGCAAGGTGATGGAGTTGTTGGTCTGAGTCTTCTTCTGCAGATTTGTGACCTCGCTGGGAGCTGAGAATTTAAAAAGATACTCAAGGGGCTGAATCCTTAAGGATCCTCATACCCAAACCTGCTCATCTCCCTTTCACAGCAAGCTGAGGTGCCTCAGTCATCAGATGAGTCTACTTCCTAAGGAGTGTGGACCACAGAAAGGAGGTGGGGCCAGGATCACCCAGGCCCACGCTGTTCTGAGTCTGCGGCCCTGTGTCCCATCCACCACCTATCTCCATGGTCGGCTCAAGGCAGAGTCATTTCTCACTTCTAGACACACCAAGTTTCTAGATGGGGCTGTTGACTTCAGTCTACTTAGCCCAAATGGTCAAAAACTAAAGTGTTCCAGATTCTGTCCATCAACAATGAACCCAATCCCTGAGGTAATTCTGACTCCCCTCATCCTTGGGACCCTCTATGTGTAGGCTGACAGGTGGGGCTCTGATGGTTCAGCTCATTCTCCAAGACAACCTGTGAACAACAGTCTAGCTGATGACTTTTTTGGTTCCAGAGAGGTGGTGCTGGACAGTCAGGGGCTCTCTTTGTTCCCAAAGACAGACCCCAAAATTGGAAAACCTGGTTGCAGAGGACAGACGCCCTCTAGGAAGCAGACCTACAAGCTCAAGGTCCGACGAGGGTGGAGAGGGTCACCGAGCACAGTTCATCTCCCAGGAAGCTCCCAATATCCCCCCATCATTGTCCTCCCCCATCCCAATAGTGCTAGGTCCAGAACGAAACTGTGTCTCACCAGTGGCCCCAGTGAGGTTCTCGTTGTCACTGATGACACTGTTCCACTCCGCCCAGACGATGAAGGTGTACAGGCTCCCAGCTTCCAGTTCCTCCAGCATTATCCCGGTATCTCCAGTCTGATTGGTCCAAGAGACAGCATGGCCCTCCTTCATCCATGAGACCAAGTAGGTATAGGAAGGCTGACCTGGGCCAAGAGGAGTTGTCCAGTTCAAGGTGATGGAGCTGTTGGTCTGAGTCTTCACACTCAGGTTCCTGACAGGGTTGGGGGCTGAGAAATTAGGAAGAAGAAGCCGGTGTCAGCAGGGGAGCAGATCAGAGGAGACACTCAGTGGACATTTCTAACCCTCAAAGTTCCCAGTCCTGCCTCAACTGTGGTCCCAGGAGATGCAGGGTGAGTGGTCTAGACTAGTGCTCCTCAAACTGCAGTGCACACATGACATCGGGCATCTTGTTAAGATGTGGGTCCTGACTCAGTGGGTCTGGACAAGAAAAGATTCGACATTTTCAGTCAGTCCTTGGAGGATGTTGGAGCTGCCACCCGTGGACCACACTTTGAGGAGTAAGGATCTAGACCTGTGCCTTCCAGTAGAATTTCTGTGATGGTGGAAATGCTCTCTCAGCGTCCCATATGGCAACACTAGCCCAGTGGGAGAATGGGGGGACTGGGAGCCCCTCACAGGGCTCATAAGTTCATGAAAAGAGGAACTGAATTGGCAATTTTAGTGAATTTACCATATTCCCCCATGTGTAAGATGCACCCATTTTTGAAAAATTTGGGGTTTAAAAACTGGGTGCATCTTATACAGTGGTTGTAGATCATTGTCAAGTCATTTAAAAAGTGTGGCATTTCAAATGCCATAGATAGAACTGAGGACGAGGCAATATATGAAGACAGTGATTCATCATCAGACACAGATGAGGACAAGCTAATGGTTGACGGTTTTGACAGTGATGAGGAGTTGTATGAATTTTATGATGAATAAACCTTGAGTTCACTAACTTTATGTAATACTTTTTTTTTCAAATTTCGGGCCCCCAAATTAAGGTGCGTCNATGTGAGATCATACAGTGTCTTTCTCTGTTTGACTTATCTCAGAATAACACCCTCAAAGTCCTTCCATGTTGTCAGAAATGGCTGGATTTCCTTCTTTTTAAAGGCTAACTGTGTGTGTGTGTGTGTGTGTGTGTGTGTGTGTGTGTGACATTTTCTTTATCCATTCATTTTTTTAAATTTTATTGGGGAACAATGTGTTTTTCCAGGACCCATTAGCTCCAAGTCAAGTAGTTGTTTCAAACTATTGGGTTGTCGGAAAAATCATGACGTGTTTTTTGTCTGCTTTTCGTTGCAAAATTGTGTTATGACTTTTCCAATAACCCAATAGTTGTGGAGGGTGCACCTCAGTGGCCCATGAGGGAATTGAACCAGCAACCTTAGTGTTATGAGCACTGCACCCTGTGCTCTAACCTAAGCCAACCAGCTGACCGTTCCTATCCATTCATTCTTTGATGGACTCTTAGGTTGCTTCCATGTCTTGGGTATTGTAAATAATACTGCAATGAACATGGGGGTGCAGATATCTCTTCGAGATAGTGATTTTGTTTCCTCCTGATTAATACCCAGAAGTGGAATTGCTAGATCAAAAAAGGGGTTCTTCACCCATCAATTTCACTCTTGGGTATATACTCAAAAGAATTAAAAGCAGTCTCTCGAAGAGATGTGCACACCCATGTTCATAGCAGCATTATTCACAATAGTCAAAAGGTGGAAGTAACACCAGTGTCTATTGACATGAATGGATAAGTACAATGTGGTCCATCCATACAAAGGAATAGTATTCAGCCTTAAAAAGAAAGGACATTCTGATACAGGCTACAGCATGTATGAACCTTGACATTATGCTCAGTGAAGTTAATATGGTAAGTTTTATGTTATGTGTATTTTATCACAATTAAATTTTTTTTTTTTTTTTTTTGAGCCATCCTGCCACCTGTTGGCAGCTCAGCAGCAGCTCAGCTCCGGCTGGGAATCGAGCTGGCAACCTTGTTGCTCAGAGCTCGCACTCTTGA